TTGAAAAAATATTGGTTGCCTTGGCAACAAATAGGCTTAAAACATGGCAAATATAACAATTTTTGTGATTAGTCAAAAAGAGCTGAAAATTTTTATGAAATTGCATCTTTAATTCATTATTTCATTTAATTAGTTATCTCCTCTTTAAGAATTTTGCTTTTAAAAATGTTATATTTTGGTAACAGGGATGTTTCAAATATTAACTTTAGAGTGTCCTTCAGTCCGTCTGTCTGTCTGTTCATAAAAACTGTTTCCTGTGATCACTTTTAAAGAACTTTTCCAACAAATTTACTTAAGATAGAGAAAAATTGCAACATGAGTGAAATGTCAATGGCCCTTCAGAATGTTGATGGGGTTCTAACAGGTAGAGTCTTATGGATTGCTTGCAATTCTATGATAATTGCTTGCTGCCTTTTGGGATTCACGAGGAATGATACTTACTCATTTCATGCCAAAAGGTCAAACTGTCACCACCAAGTACTATTCTGAAGTAATTATGAAAACTCTCAGAGAAAAGGTGAAGCAAATGCGTCCCAGGTTAGCACAGAAAAATGTCCTCCTTCTTCACGATAACGCCCCCTCCAATACCGCCGCAGCTATAGTGGAGGTTATCATTTTCTTACAAATGGCAATTGTTGTCTCACCCTCCTTATAGCCCCGACCTCGCCCCCTGTGACTTTTATTTGTTTCCAGAACTGAAAACATTGCTTGCTGGAAAGAAATATAAGACCAGGGCGGCTTTGATATCTGCTGTTACACAGTACCTAAAACATAGGTCTACGTCAGGGTTCACAGCGGGAATACAAAAGCTCCCACGAAGATGGCAAAAGTGCGTAGACGTAGGTTAAGAATATTTTGAAAAAAGAGTAGAAAGATTTTTTATGCCACCGCAGCATCTGCGATGCGGTGGCATATAGCGATTCACCTGTGTGTATGTATGTGTGTGTGTGTGTGTGTTTGTGTGTGTGTTATATAGATTATATAGTGAACTTAAAAAAACTTCTTGTGAAAAACCACTAGTCCAATTTTAACCAAACTTGGCAGGATTGTTCCTTGGGTTCCAAAGTTGTTCAAATAATTTCATTCCATGCAGAAATCTTGTTGCCATGGCAACCAAAAGGAATAATAAGAATAAATTTAAAAAATCTACTTGTAAAGACCCAAAAGGCCTAGAGCTTAGATATTTTGCATAAGGCATCATCTGGTAGACCCTTACCAAGATTGTTCAAATTATAGCCCTTGGATCAAAATCGGCCCCGCCCGGGGTCATTGATTTTCGCTATATGTACATATAGTAAAAACTTAAAACACCTTCTTGTAAAGACCCAAAAGGCTAAGAGCTTAGATATTTTGCATAAGGCACTGTCTGGTAGACCTCTACCCAGATTGTTCAAATTATAGCCCTGGGGTCAAAATCGGCCCGCCCCAGGGGTCATTGGTTTTCCTTATATGTATATAGTAAAAACTTTAAAAAAATTCTTCTAGCAATTGACAAATGCTAAAGGTTAGATATTTTGCATCAAACATTGTGTTGTAAAACTCTAGCAAGATTGTTCAAATTATAGCCCTGGGGTCAAAATTGTCCCCGCCCTGGGGGTCATTGATTTCAATATATACATAAAATGATATAGTAAAAAAATAAAAAAATCTTATTGTCTGAAGGTACAAGGCTTAGAGCTTTAATATTTGTTAAATAATATCATCTAAAGGTACTCTACCAAAGTTGTTCAAATTTTGCTTCTTGTGTCAAAATTAGCCCCGCCCCTGGGAGCCATAGGTTTATCCTATATGTATATAGTTAAAACTTAAAAAATCATCTTCTCTAAATTTACAAAGGATAAAGTTAAGATATTTTGCATGAAACATTGTGTAGTGAACCTCTAGCAAGATTGTTCAAATTATAGCCCTGGGGTCAAAATTGGTTTTGCCCCGGGGGTCATTGATTTTCATCATGTACATATAGTGGAAAAAAAATTTTTGTCTGAAGGTTCAAGGCATAGAGCTTTGATGTTTGATATATAATATCATCTATAGGTCCTCTACCAAAGTTGTTCAAATGTCAAAAATTGGCCCTGCCCGGGGGCAGTGATTCTCATTATGTACACGTAGTAAAAACAGAAAATAAAACAAATGTTTTCTGAATGGGAGAAAGCTATAGCTTAGATATTTGACTTGAAATATTGTTTGGTGGACCTGTATCAAGATTGTTATTAAACCCTTGGGTCAAAATTATGCCTTGCCCAAGGGGACAGTGACCTACTTTCTTGTCCTTTGATGTACAGTAATGACATTTTGACCATGTGCACAGTTTTAGTTGTAAAATTGAACTTTGACCTAGATTTTGATGATGTGACCTACTTTCTTGTCCTTTGATGTACAGCTATAAAATTTGAACCATGCGGTGGCATAGCATTTTTCTCAAATGCAATCTTGTTTTAAAATGTTGAATGGTTTTCGAGAAAGAGTCAAAAGTCCGGATATTTTCTGACCGTCCCTCGTATAAATCAAAATAGTTAAACATGATACAGTTATTGCAACAAAGGCAAAGATTCATAATTTCACATTGACTGTGATCTAGGAGCAGTCAGTTTCTGTATTTTTCTGGGCTGTATGGGTCTGTGTTGCACGGTTCTATCTAACATGTCTAAGAGATGCTTAAACGGGGGCATATCAGTATGAGTTGGACATGGCAGCAAGGTGATTCCGTTTTGTCTAAAGTAAGCCATATTTTCTTGAGCTACTAAAGGAATATTGAACTGGCTGCTGATCATTGGTTAAGGTTTCCATTAACTACGAGAATGTCCAAATATCTATCGGAGTGGAATCCACCTTAAACTATCACGATTCCCGTCGGTAATGATTTGTTACTATTTCATATGCGTAATTATAGCGCTCACAAAGACCAAATTTACAGAGTTGGTTCCGAAATGTCTGTGCTTAGCGGTACCGATAGCAGTGGTAGCCTGTCGTGTTTGGTTGCCAGGGTGTCGCGAGGGTGTTGTACACATACAATATTGTCCTTGTTGCCTTTTGTGACTCTTCTACGACTCGCTCCTGGCAAATCTGTGACGCTGATTGAAACATCTCGCGTGCAAATCAGTTATAAATGATGTGTACAGACATTTCAACATTCATTATCTGCTGATTATCTTAACAAATAATTCCATGCAGTGAAAAGAACATAATTTTGAAACTGTTTTAATGTTTTACTTGACCCAACGCTTCTGCAAAAGATATGGCCAGTGTGAAGTATGTGATAGGAGGTTGTATGTACAGTCTTACAGTCAATGCTAAGGTTTTGGAATAAGAACAACCATACCAAAAAAAGTCTTATCAATATGTATCAGAAACAGACTCGGCTAGCGTCTCTGGCAGATATGTACTTGTCAAATGGAATTCAGTATTGTACTCAACAATGTATAATAACCTTATAATACAATACAAGTATTTTATCTTTAAAGGCCCAATATGCCTCAGATAAGAAATGTTTTTATTTTTCCCGAAAGCTTTTTATTTTTGACGTCCTGTTAAAGTTTCCAAAACATTTCTCATAAGCTATTTCTCTTAACCGTCTTTTGCTTTTGTTGCATATTGACAGTTTGTACAGTTACATTGATGTAATTTAGTATTTTGTATGGAAGTCAAATTATACTTTGCTTACGATTTATTACTTTTACGACGAATAATTTTACATTCAGCGTTCCTTTCAACAGATGATAAGCATCTTAAATGCTTTAAAACCATTATTTAAATGTCATAAAACATGTGTTTGCCCTTCTTCGGGCTAAGAATAAAATAAAAACAAAAAAAATCGTTTCTGAGGCATAACGTGCCTTTAAGAGGTGTTTAAAATGTGATTTAAACAACGTAAGCCTTGTCGAATTTCTTAATATAATAATATATGTCAACGTTTATTATTCCTGATGTTGCACATCTCTATAATGTGATAAGCAAGTGTGCCAACAGATCAATGAAATCTAAAGTAATTGACTGGAAATGAATACAAGGGGAAACGATATAAATACAAACATCGCATTATGTAGGAGGAAACATAAATGAATAGGATAATACGAATTAATTACTTTTATACATTTTACAACATATTGTCTTTACAATATTTTATTTAAGAAGCATGGGACGAAAGGGGGTGTAACTAAAGATTCACTTATGCTGTTAATCTTTTAAAGCGGTAACTTCCCTTACAATGATGTAACAGCGACCAAATTTAAAATAATAATACATGTACATGTAAAGGGTTTTATAGGATATGTGACAAACTATTTAAATTTCATTATGAAACATAATATCAACGAAATGCTATTTACACTTGTAAAACATTCTTTAAAATAAAGACATATCGTTAGTGAACATAACATAGACACAAATATATTGTCTTAAAGATATACAGTATTACGCTCATCTTAGGTAAGATATTATTATTGAAGAATTAAAATCTAGGCAATCTTTACTGAAATTTTATAATTTGAACAACAAAATGCAAATTTTACTCGTCAAGTTGAATTGGTTGTTGCTTTTAAATGGCACTGTATATTCATACTGTGTCTGCCTTTGGTTTTATACAGTTTAAAGCGTGAAATGTGCAAAAATAGGCCCTTACTGCGTTAGTCACGCAGTAGAAAAATGGTGATAAATTATGCAAATACAGTCATTAATGACACACAACATGTAAATAACTGCTTGAATCTTGAATCATTTGACTTTTATTCAAATTTAAGTACATCGTCCCTCAAGTTTGATTGTCTTGAAAAAATTTTGCTTATCTTGGAGCATGCAGCTCTACGTGTTTAATTAAATTAACATTGTTTTAAAATGGTTTGAAGACAATAATAACAATTGAAAGAATAAACATTTATTAATTAGTGTAAAATAATGATCGTATGTAAGTATATATATATAAATGACTTTGTCTTTGTTTAAGTAAAGCGTATGTACAGTAACGTAATCAGCGACAATGTCAGTCAGAACAATGGTTGACAAAGTCATGCCTGCTTGTATACCAGGATGGAGTTTCCAGAATAGTTACTAAGATACAAAGTGGAAGATGCTTCATTAAAACAGACAGACTGCAAGCGATCAAACCTATTTTTCTCAATCGGCAATATTTTGATTTTTCTACAATCTTGCGAAACTAGATGTAAGGTATTATTTCCACTGCTACAAACAAGAACTGAACCATCCTCACAAACGGTAAATGATCTCGGATACTTAAAACTTTCGTCCTGATAAGTTGCAAGTAATTTCCCATCAAACGAAAATTTCATCAACGAAGAGTTGTAAAAATCAGATACAAAGAAACTACTCCCACATACGTTAACTTCTACACAACCAGGCCAACCTAAAGTACCAGCTGTAATATTGCGAACAACCACTCCGTCCAGTGTTAAAATTTGAAGTTTTGGTGGTCCGACAAAAGATACCACCAATGTATTCTGGTAGTGAGCTATCCCTCTACATTCTCCGTTGACTTTTATTTCTCTGATTGATGTCAGTTTCTTGTCTGTAACTGAGAGGAAACAAATCTTCCCAATACCAGGTAATGTAACTGCAATCTGGTCGGTGGCAACGAACGTTATATCCCACGGCCCAGAATTCAAGAGAATCTGTGATGAAATACATTTTTGTTTTATGTCTACCACTTTAACAGAGTTATTTTTCTTATCTACGCATAAAAGTGCGTCTGATGATAAAAGAAGCATGTTTGAAATGAGTACATCCTCTTTGTCAGTATTTGAATGAACAATAATTTCACCAGCATACACTGGTTTAAATTCAGCAATGCTGCATTCTTTTGAAGGGTTGTAACTACATGACTTTAAAGAAAGTTTCCCCAGAGGGCAGCTTCCAGAAACCATCGCGTTCAAGTCACTGTTACGTACAAACTTATACTCAGTAAATACCATATTTACATTTTGTTTCATGTCTTGCTCTAACTGACTCAGTCGAGCTTCTGTTTGCTTTGCTTCAACAAACAGGTCAGTGGTTTTCTTTGACTGTGACTTTAAACAGTCAGCAATGTCATCTAGTTCAGACTTGATTGTTTTCAGGAAATCCTCATTTTTAGTTATAGCATTTACATTTTCTTTCCTGAGACGTTCACATTCCTTTAGTATTGTTTGTTCCATCTTGTTTAGATGATCTTCAATCTCCTTTCGGAACCTTTTGATTTCTTGAACTGCGAAAACGAATTCTTTAGCACATGCTTCCCTGCCTGTACCTGTTGCTTTTATCTTGAAATCAACCTTTGTTTGGAGTTTCTCGAGTCTAGTCAAAATAGCTTTATAGTCCTCTCCGTTGGTAAATTCGTCAGCTATATCTGGGATAAACTCAACCTTGCATGTCTTGTGGTCAATTACCATACAATTACCACACCCAACTGTATCATGATCACTGCAGAAGTACTTGATTATCTCTAATTTGTGTTTCTCGCAGGTTTCAGTACATAGTTGTTTGACAGTTTGTGGTTCAACATTCTTCGGCATATTAGCCTTCTCCAAAATAGTATGATGTTTACTGACAGTTACTTTGCGGTGATATTTGATACACGTTTTACACAGATATTCCTGGCAGTTCTGACAGAAACCATCGGCTTCTAAACTCTCACCGTCAGCTTTACATGGTTGACATAACACTCCATGACATTTAGATGATTCCGAAGATGACGTTAGACCTTGAGCTCTATCTCTGGTCTTTCCGGGTACCTCCATTGTCTGCAGTTTAAAGTTTTCTATAAATTATTTAAATGCTGTAATACGATATTACTTGATAAATTCAATTCGAATATATCGTGTATACTCACAATATTTAGTGCACACACCGTAGTTTCTTTTACTTCTACTGAAATGATGTTTGATTTAAGTTTAGTGTAAAATGTTGATAAGATAACTATTTGAATTGTAACATGTATTGTTTATCTCTGTGTTATATACATGTACCATGTTAATATCTCACTAATCTACCAAATGTTGTATGTGTTTATGATATGATTGTACTTGTCTATGTATGTTACTGAAAATATGAGAGTACATGTATTAAAATCAGATAATTTTATCGAAATCATGTGTAGAAAGTTTTTAAATCAGTACAGGTGAAGTTTTAGAATGATTTTATAAACTTCAGGACATGCATCCATTGGATACGATGCACTTCCGCTGTATTATCACAAAACATCCCGTACAAATACTTCAATGAATTGGCGACAAATTGACATGATATTACTTATTTAACACCTTATTGAATATAACCAATGCACTTTTAGCGTAACAAACTAATTCATTATTGGATCCATTATTATGAATTTAACCTCATTTTCAATTCAGAGTGCAAAACGTCCATACCAAATCCGTATCGTAACCCATATAGCGCCGTTTTCATTTACCAAGTCCAAAAGATTCATATAGAATTAATATCGCTCTCTCATTTAGCCTTATTTTAATATTTAGAGTCCATAATAGCTTTATCAAATTCATATCATACTCTTTCTAGCCTCGTTTTTCTTCTTGAGATGAAAATTTCGATATCGAATCGAATGTAAACAAAGTAATAAAGTTCTGTTAAAATATCAATAACAAAAATGGTGTTGTAAAATATAGTGGCAATTAAACAGTTTTAGAACGATATTCATTCGATTGAACTCGTGCACAACTGCAAAACCTATATTAGACCAGCCTCGCACCTCTAAAAGCTTTGTACTTGCCTTACAGAATTCAGTTTTGAATCCAGCATCCTTATAATATAAACAAGTAAATTATCTCTAAAGGCCCAATATGCCACAGAATTGTTTTATCCACCCCCCCCCCAAAGCGTTTTTTTTCCTGACGTCCTGTTATAGTTTCCAAAACGTTACTCATTGGCAAATAGTTTCTACCATCTTTTGCTTTTGTTGCTTATTGACAGATAGTACAGCTACATTGATTTAATTTAGTATTTTGTATGGAAGTCAAAATATTACTTTGTTAACATTCCGCTACTTTTATGAGAAATAATTCAGCGCTCCTTTCCTCAGGTGATAAACAAATAACATGCTTTAAAACCATTTTTTAAATGTTATAAAACTCGTGCTTGCTCTTTCTAAAGAATGAAAACAATATTTGTTTCTGAGGCATAATATGCCTTTAAGAAGTGTGTAAAATTGTGATTTAAACAGCCGACGACTAGAAGAGTTTCTTATTTCCTAAAGGAAAGTGTTCAATAACTTCATATCAGAATAATCATAATACTTGTCAAATTTTTATTTCCAAAATTTCCAACTCCACATCAGAATAATAAAATGTCTGTTTCAAATGAATTAAGATTTAGACAATTCATGATTGTACAGTCCTGTTGCATTGTAATCTGTGGGACTGATCTATTACTATTATGTAAATCTGATCTGCAAAATGTGTCAAACAATACAACACACAGGTATTGTCTAAATCAACGATACAATTGATATAGTTTACGGATAAGGAATAAATAAAATGTACACAGTGACATTTGTCATAATAATATCATGCATACAGTTGTATATTAGTATCTTCCCGTACTTACCTTGTTCGTATACATTGTTGTTGTAATATTAACGCAATGAATCCTGTTGTTGCTGTATTAGTAAAATAAAATGGTTAATGTATGTGCATGATTATATATGTGTGTGTGTGTGTGTGTGTGTGTGTGTGTGTGTGTGTGTGTGTGTGTGTGTGTGTGTGTGTGTGTGTGTGTGTGTGTGCGTGTGTGTGTGTGTGTGTGTGTGTGTGTGTGTGTGTGTGTGTGTGTGCGTGCGTGCGTGCGTGTATGTGTGTGTGTGTGCACACTATTCATGTCCCTATAGTCATTTTTTATCCTTATACAGGCGATATTACTATTGAAGCAAAACTAGAAAATTAGAAGGATAATCAATTTATGTTTTGTCTTTATTTTTTGCAGGCTGAACATTTTATAAAAAGCAAATGTGTCACAATGAAACATAAAGTAATTGACTGGAATTGAAATACAAGGGGAACCAATACAAACAGAAATCATACATTTTTAGGAGGAAACATAAATCAGTAGGAAAATAATTAGTTTTTTACATTTATCAACATATTTTCTTTACAAATTTTCATTTAAGAGCAACCATTGGGTAAGTCTTGACGTAAAGGGGTATAACTTAAGATTCACTTATGCTGTCAATATGTAAAAGGCGGTAACTTCCCTTACAATGAGGTAACATCCAACAAATTTAATGATTTAACATGTAAAGGCTTCCATAGTGTATGTGTCAAATTTCATTATGAAACATAAAATCAATGGAGAGCTTTTAACATTTATATCACATTCTTTAAAATTATGGCATATCGTTAGTGAACATAACATAGACGCAAATATATTGTCTTAAAGATAAACTGCGCTCTTCTTTGGGTAACATATCTTTATTGCAGAAATTTATTGAAATCTAAGAAATCGTTACTGAAATTTTCTAATTTCAACAATAAAATGAAAACAAAATCTGTTTGGGAAGCTGCATTCTCTTTTACTGGTCAAGTTAAATTAGTTGTTGCATTTGAATGTCATATATTCGTTCTGTATTACTGATAGTTTAAGCAGAGTTTAAAGCGTCAAAATATGCAAAAATAGCCCTTATGGTACGTTAGTCACGTAGTAGAAAAATTATGATAATAACATACCTCGGACATGAATTTATACTTGCATCTTGAATCATTTGAATATTTTTAAAATCTTAGTACATTTGTTCTCAAGTTTGATCTTTTTGGGCATACAGCTTTAAATGCTAAATAAAATTATCATTATCTAAAATTAGTTTGAAGCAATAATAATGATTAAAAGTATAAACATTAGTAAAAAATATGATGACGTATCTTTCTAATCATCTTGATTACAAATATAATAATAAAAAAGGAAACAACACAAAAATGTTATTTTACACTGACTTAATCTTATGGTATATTTTAAGTATGCATTATAGATTTCTGAGATTTCAACAAAGCTCTAATGTAAGTACACAGTATTTTTTCCTCTGCTAACAACAAAAACGTGGCCATTTTTTCTGACTTTAGCTTCCTTTCCAATGAATTGATTGTAATTTCTTATTCAAATGTACATTTGTTAAATATGCTATTCTAAATATCCGACACATACAAAAATGATTGTATGTAAGTATACAGTCTTTGTTGAAGTAAAACGTGTGTACAGTAATTTAATCAGCGAAAATGAAAGTCAGAACAATGGTTGACAAAGTTATGCCTGCTTGTATACCAGGATGGAGTTTCCAAAATAATTACTTAGATACAACGTGGAAGTTGCTTCATTAAAACAGACAGACTGCAAGTAATTAAGCCTATCTTTCTCAATCGGCAAGATTTTGATTTTTCTGCAATCCTGCGAAACTAGATGTAAGGTATTATTTTCACTGCTGCATACAAGAGCTGAACCATCCTCACAAACGGTTAATGACCTTGGTTCCTGCAAACTTTCGTCCTGATAAGTGGCAAGTAATTTTCCATCAAACGAAAACTTCAGCAATGAAGACTTGTGTAAATCAGATACAAAGAAACTACTCCCACACACGTTAACTTCTACACAACCTGGCCAACCTAAAGTAGCAGCTGTAATATTGCGTACAACCTCTTCGTCCAGTGTTAAAAATTGAAGTTTTGGTGGTACCACAAAAGATACCACCAATGTATTCTGGTAGTGAGCTATCCCTGTACATTGTCCGTTGACTTTAATTTCTCTGATTTGTGTCAGTTTCTTGTCTGTAACTGAGAGGAAACAAATCTTCTCAATTTCAGGTAATGTAACTGCAATCTGGTTGGTGGCTACGAACGTTATATCCCACGGCCAAGATTCCAAGAGAATTTGTGATGAAATACATTTTTGTTTTATGTTTACCACTTTAATGGAGTTGTTACCTCTATCTACGCATAAAAGTGCGTCTGATGATAACAGAAGCAAGTTTGAAATAACGGCATTATATTTGTCAGTATTTGAATGAACATTAATTTCACTATCAAATACTGGTTTAAATTCAGCAATGCTGCATTCCATTGAAGGGTAATAACAATATGACTTTGAAGAAAGCTTTCCCAGACTGCAGCTTCCAGAAACCATCGCGTCCAAGTCACTGCTACGTACAAACGTATACTCAGTGAATACCATATTTACATTTTGCTTCATATCTTGCTCTAACTGACTCAGTCGAGCTTCAGTTTGCTTTGCTTCAACAAACAGGTCAGTGTTTGTTGACGTTAAACATTCAGCAATTTCATCTAGTTCAGACTTGATAGTTTTCAGGAAATCCTCATTTTTGGTTATAACATTTTCATTTTCTTTCCTGAGACGTTCACATTCCTTTAGTATTGATTGTTCCATCTTGTTAAGATAATCATCAATCTCCTTTCGGAACCTTTTGATTTCTTGAACTGTGAAAACGAATTCTTCAGCACATGCTTCCCTGCCTCTCCCTGTTGCCATTATCCTGGAATCAACCTTTGTTTGAAGTTTCTCGAGTCTGGCCAGAATAGCTTTATATTCCTCGCTGTTGATGAATTCGTCAGCTATATCCGGGATAAACTCAACCTTGCATGCTTTGTGGTCAATTACCATACAATTACCACACCCAACTGTATCATGATCACTGCAGAAGTACTTGATTATCTCTAATTTGTGTTTCTCGCAGGTTTCAGTACATAGTTGTTTGATGGTTTGTGGTTCAACGTTCGTCGGCATATTAGCCTTATCTAAAATAGTATGATGTTTACTGACAGTTACTTTGCGGTGATATTTGATACACGTTGTACAAAGATATTCCTGGCAGTTGTGACAAAAACCATCGGCTTCTAAACTCTCACCGTCAGCTATACAAGGTTGACATACTTTATAATTTTGAGATGATCCCGAAGATGATGTTTGATCTTGATGTCTATTTTCCTTCTTTCCAGAAACCTCCATTTTATGCACTATTTATAGCGGTGTTTTAAAACGGTTTGTTTACTTTTGAATCAAGTTCTGACTTGTCTTATTTCCCATGTATCCATAAATAAGTCCAACATAATAAGACTTTAGTCCATAGATTTACGAAGCATTTGTTTAACGTAAGAAAATTCTTAATTCACTACGATTTTATTCGTAAAAATGCAATTTCTCAAGCCGTTCAAGTATTTCCTTGTCGACAATATATAATCGCGCAAATTAACCGAGGCTTTCGGTTGTTTCCGTTCACTCCGCTTGAGAAGATTATTGATAAAGGTGTACTTGAATGTTTATCTATGTCGTTTATAAAGTTCAGAAAGAAATACAATACGTGTTAAGTTAGACTTATCGGAAAGTAAAGTAGAGCAGAATTGATGTTTAAATAGGAAACAGATATCAATTTTAAAGGAATTGCTGTAGAATAATACACAATTCGAAAATAAATAATAATAATAAATTTTAATTTGTTTGCAACATCGTTCGTATCTCATCGGATAATTGTCAGACTTGTGATTGTTTCAAGATTCATTCTAAAACTACAACGTTTGCAGATACGGAATAGGTTTCTTTACTCCCTTAAAACGCGAGTAAAACAATTATTTCCTTATAGAAGCCTTTAAGCTGTAAATATCCTTTACAGTGATAAGACCCAATATAATTTTTATACTAAATATATAATCAATATAAAACAAAACACAAGTAGGAATAGTCTTCACTAAAATTATCAAACGGTTTATTAAAAGAGGTTATGACCCAATTATTATAAGGCATACCACATGCTTGGTGTTCAACCCTTTTACAGTTGCACGCTTTTAATTACATCTGACGGACCAAGTGGGAGACTCTATGATGGACAGTTCTTAAAGCCCTTTGGGACTGAATTGTCTTAATGTTCGTCTTCTGCCTTGCTTCGTCGGGCCCTTGTAGGTGATTTTCTTGTTGCTCTGCCTTCCTTTAAGGCATCGAGTACTTTGGTAATGGTCATTAGGCTGTAACTTTTTTTTTACATATTTACATAATTTTGTATGTGTTTTATTTATTTCGTCTAATGTAACCATGACCATTGTTAGAATTTCACTTGGTGGGGATTAATTTTATATACATTTTCGTGTCATTCAGGAACATGATGGGGCTAAGAGTGAGGTTTGGCGCGCCTAAAACCGGTTTAAACTACCCAGTGGTTTAACTACCACTGACCGTTCCAAGGCGGTACCCCTTTGTGTTCCTTCACGTGTTTTTCTTGTCTGTATTGTTACTTGTTTTTGGATGTTTACATGTTTTGTGATGTCTGTCTTGTTGGATTGTCGTTGACGGTAGGTATTTTCTCTCCCCCCCTCTTCCATTTTTAACCCCCCCCCCCACCTTTTCACCCGTACAGCCCTTTTCCCTTTAATTCCCTTATGGGCCCGTTTTTGTTTATATTATTTCACGTTACATGTCCCACTCCTTTCGCCCTTGTGTCCACTCCAGGTTTTTGTTTGGTGCCTTCTGGGTGTCCTACTTGGGTTTGCTCGGGGGCAGTGTCCTGTGAACGTTGCCTTTGCCTTGTTGATCTTTATTCTTGTTATTTCATTATTGGTGGCATATATCGACAAATCGAACTTAAAATCAAGATGTTGATGCTCATTAATTCGCCCGACGTCTGTAATACGTCCATCGTTATCAAGGAATAATGCCTTCGTCGAATTTGGATTTGAAAACAGCCCTCTATGTACTAAGAATAAGGAACATCGACGCGTCTATCCTCCTGAAAAGCATCGGGTGAAGGAAATCTTAAACTAAAAACTAGTTTAAACTTTAAGAAGTGCAGAAAGTACTAGAAAGATAAGTAACTCTACCGATTGTAAAGCCTCGGATGACCTAAACACGCAGAGTTGTGCTTTTCTACCCGGCACGGAAAACGAACATTTTCCCGCCAATATCCATAAGCCAATGATGGTGCAACAAATAAGCAGACGGCAGTTTGGTCCGAATGAGTCGAATGGCTTTGTAAATTTCACCAGGGCAACGTTTATATGTTTGGTTAGATATACTGAAGAAGATGAACAAAAATAACGACCAAGCTGGGACCACGCTCGACAATTTCTTATATTTTAAATTAAACACAGGAGGTAAAGAATACTTCAGGAAAATACCATTTTCTAAAACAAAACATATTAATTAAATTTCATATTTTACCTTGACAGTCAATGTCATTTACAGAAAAAGTCAGTTGTCATATATGTTGTTTTGTCCTCGTATGAATCAAATCTGCCAATTATAAAAATAACAAAGTTTAACAAAATCATAACAGTCAATGCCATATTGAGGTTAATGTTAAAATAAAATAATACACTATGTCAGTTTTGCAAGAAGTATTGTTTTGTACAAGTATAAATCAAAACCGTCAAACATGATACAGTTATCGCAACAAAGACAAATATCCATAATTTCACTATGATCTAGGAGCAGTCAGTTTCTGCATTTTTCTGGGCTGACTGGGTCTGTGTTTTACGGCTCTATCCATTATGTCCAAGAGATGTTCAATCGGTGACTTATCGGTAGACATGAGCTGGCCATGGCAGCAAGGTGATTCCGTTTTGATTGAAGTAAGCCCTATTTACTTGAGCTACTTTAGGAATATTAAAATGGCTGCTGAACGTGTATTAATGTATGGTTTCACCAGTGGACGAAGTACCTCCTCCTTGTCTCTTTCTTTGTGCGTTAAGTTTTCAATTAATTACAAGGATGTCCAAATATCTATCGGAGTGGAATCCATCCCAAACTATCACACTTCCCGGTTCCTATTCCATATGCGTCAGTATAGCGCTCACCCAGACGGCGGTATACTTTCAACTGCCTATTTTCGGCACAATTAATTTATTTGAGAAACGCTTCTCTATTGTCAAATATCTCAACGTGCATGCAACGTGCGTGGCCGAGTGGTAAACGCGTCGGACTAGTAGTCGGATAATTACTGACCGCGTGGGTTTAAACCCCGTTCGTCATGGGCAAGCCGTTGTTACCATGCGCAAGAAACTTTACACTCATGGCTTAGTAATGGTTGGTTCCAGGAACGGATTAGAGAGTGTTTCAATAAGCTTCCATCACAAAATAAATAAGTATAAACTGACGTGCATGCTAATGTCCCTAACGCATCCTTTCTTGCCGATGACGAGGAGTTAGACAAGGTCCGAAGGAAGGACGGCGGCAGCGAATTCCAAGTTCACGTAGTTGGTTGTCTGTACTTAGCGGTACCGATAGCAGTAGCAGCTTTTGTGTTAGCCTGTCGTGTTTGGTTGCGAGGATGTTGTACATGAACATTATTGTATTGTTTCCCCTCGTGACTCTTCTACGGCTCGCTCTTGGCAGATCTGTAGCGCTAATTGAAACATAACTCTTGCAAATCGGTCATAAATTAAGTGTTCAAACATTTTAGCATTTGCTTTCAACAGAAACGTTCTTTTTAAAAAGTAACAACAATGATTAATTATCTGTTGATTATCTTAATAAATAATTCCATGCTGTAAAAAGATTTTTTGAAAAAATCTATTTAAATAACGTAATTTTAGCTATATCTTTTTTGTATATTGGTATTTGCAGGTACTTGAAGACTCACGGTTATTTGTCAACTTCAAAGAAAACCATTTTCAATTGATCAATTTTAATTTACCATTTTGCACGTGCATATCGTGCACTCAAGCGTAATACAGCCTACTGATAATCACTGATTATAGGCCAGGTTAACTCTTTTTTACACATGTTCTTTAGATTGTTTGCTATATAACAGTTGTGAGAAGAAAAAAATACTAGCATTTGAATTCAGTCATAAATAAAACTTACCTACCGGCTCCTTTGTTAAAAGCGGTCTAGTAAATCACTTACCGACCGGTTAACAGGTCTGCAAATAGATACCGACCGGTTATTGTTCTATTGTTCTCTATACAATAGAAAATATGTGAAGTCGAGAAACTCGTGCATTACAGTATACAATAGTCACCGTAAAATATCGCTATATTGTGGGGGAGGGGGGGGGATAATGACCACTTTGAATAGGAAAAGGGTCGATATATATTTTAAAGATTAATCGAAATAAATTAGCGCATACGGCTGTAAGTACCCTCATAACTTATATTCCAGACTACGCTCTCTCGGTCTTCAAATCGCCACCCGGGTCTGTAAATACTATGCAGACCTATTCCTCGTACGGTAACTATTACTTACCTACCGGCTCTTTTGTTAAAAGCGGTCTAGTAAATCACTTACCGACCGCTTAACAGGTCTGCAAATAGATACCGACCTGTTATTGTTCTATTGTTCTCTATAAAATAGAAAATATGTGATGTCGAGAAGCTCGTGCATTACACAATATTCACCGTAAACGCAGAAATTTTGAAAAAATAATGCTAAATTGTGCAAATTTATATGAGGGGGGGGGGGGGGTACATCTGATCAAATTAATGGAATAAAATTAGCGCATACGGCTGTAAGGACCCTCATAACATATATTCCAGATTATTTGTGAGAAAAACGAACTGGCTACTGTTCTGGCGTTGAAGTTGGTGTTTCGCCGATATTAATGAGTACAATAACGCACATTTAGCCTTTCTTTATGCTTTTTCTATGAAAAATTGTTTTCGGTATACCTAACACATTTGCCGAACTACATAGCTTCAGAAGATACTAATTTTCTGCATTTATTCTGATTTTGCACAATCCTGCATTATTTAAACAATTCTGCAATATGGGATATATACGACGATTGGTGCATATCGAATCAAAGTAGTCTTCTGCATCTTTCTTTCCCAAAATATTACTTTCAGTGAGAGTATAGTTCATCTTAAGGATAAGACCTTTTTTTTCGGTTTTTTCCTCAAATTTTTTACATTACAATTTGGATTTTGTATACCAGTACTCGCCTGTTCTTCGCAAGAATACGACTTGCGCTTCCATTCTAGACCGCGTGCTTACATGCGGTCTTATCAAACATATGAATAACG